CCCCCCCCCCGAACGGAAATCCTGTGTACGCTACTGGTATAGAGTATCCGAACATGTAAAGAGAAGAAGAGGAACTAACCGCGTTGACATTCATTGCTGCATTGAACAAGTCATTCAAAGGATCGCTGCGCTTCTGATTAGACGGCCGTATTGGTTGCAGAAGTTGTGGTGAAAACTTGTGACTCGGAGGGCTTGGGGGGAGCTCGGGGCCGCTTTTCCGGATTACTGTGCTTGGAGGTATTCCTGAAAGTTCCATTCTGAGTAAGAGGACATTTGGTTGCCTTTGAGTATAACCATCACAACTTCAAAGGACACCAATAGTGCTCGGCTTCAACAGTAGTCTGCTATAGTCCACTATACTTGAAAACGTACCGATCTCTGTTCCAGGAATAGTTTCCGTTTCTTTTTCAATCGGAAATGGTGGAGGTGTGCTCGGCAAGGTTTCCATTGTAGTTTGCTCAGGTCCGCCGTGGCCAAAGCCGACACTCTCGTGATGGCTTTCGACTTTAGCAGCGACTGGGGTGATCTGCATTTGGGGAGCTCTTTGGTCGAAAACTTCTTCAAGCGCTCTTCTGTGTTCACGAGGTAAAGCAGCAACCGTGTTCGTAAAGCTCTGCACTTTCTCATTTCCGCTCAGAGAGTTGTTCAGAAGTATGAGTGTGATGTCGTCCGTTGTCTGGAAGTTCATAGAATTACAAATTAAATGGTTTTTCTTATTGAAAATTGCATCGAAAGTGTAACTTTCTGGGAGGATAAATTCTAAAACTCTTCATTATAATATTCTTCTACACAATACCTTTTTCAAAACAGGTGGCATTTTTTCCCAAAATAAATCGAGCCTCCTCTTCTTTTCCTCATTTACTAACAATCCAACCCTCCGAATTTCTTCCATTGAGCGCGATGGAAACGTTCCCTTTTCAAGAAGATGTACGGATATTTCAGCAATTTTTTGCATTCTTGACTTGTTGCTGAAATTCAACAATTATGGGCTATTAATGTAGAAAATCTTCTAAAAGCAATTTCACCATGAATAAAGTACAGCTTCCACATTGGCAAGCTTCATAGGGTCATTTACATAGGCTTGAACTATGCCTAGCGTTGAAGACGCAAATTCCAAGTCACAATCAGGTGTAATCTGCAATACCGAAATTTATTTCCATGAGATTTTTTCCTACTGAGCGGACCTGGCATTGGACGTGCTGGCTATATAGGGCGATTAGGCCCAGAATATGAATGGTTCTCATGATATCGCCGTAAAAACCATAAATGTGACGTGATGAAGGCCTATACAGCGTATTTGCAACCTGTAGTACATATTATAGTTGTAACAAACGGAAATTTTCATCGAATGAACG